GACACTGTCCTTCCAGCTAATCCCTGCCCAGACGTCCAGGCTCTCCTGCAGGGTTCAGGGCGAATCCTGCTTGCCTTGTCTTCCACCCCTCAGCAGTCTTCTCCTCTTGTATCCGTTAGGAATGTTCTTATCTGCATCACACAGAGTGGCCCACGAATAGTGGCCTCAAACAGAAGGACTTTTGTGGTTCAGTCATAAGAAGTCTGGATGGAAGTTCTCAGCACTGTTCCAGTGACTCAGAACCTCTTTCTCTTCCCCACCAGCCATTTTATGTGACTTTTCTTTTTTGGCCCATGAGTGCAAGATGCTAGCTGGCTGGAGCACAGGCATTGCGTCTATGGCAGGAAGAAGGAAGAACAGACCATGAACCCACCATGTCGGTCCCTTATGTAAGCAGACACTTTTCCAGAAGTCTCTTAGTGGAATGAACTGCCGTTACATCTCATTGGCCAGAACCCTTCCCTTGATCCTACTCGCCTGCAGAGACAAGGGGACCATGTGGTTTTCCAGCCCCTTTGGCTAGAGGGAGCCAAGGTGCAAGGGTTGGGGATGCTGTTGACTACCACACCTGCCTACTCAGTAGAGAACCTTCCAGAGATTGTACTAACTGTCGAGAATTATCTAAGCGTTGATCCTTACAACATGACAGTGCAGCCTCTGGTTTTTGCACTGCAGGGATCTCATCCAGTGAGTGAAGGAGGAGAATCAGTGGTGACCTTTCCTCTCCTGGAGCAACGAGGTTAGTTAAGTTCCACCCACTTGGCCATGAGCACCACTTGTCAAGAATTGACATTTATCTTTTCCATGTACATCTTGTCTCTTCCACTGGATTATAAGCTATCTGAGAAGAGGGATCTCTCACACCATCTTCTATTGTCAGTGACTCGAGTTACTTTGCTGGCCTCCAGGACATTGATTAATGTGAGAATGCTGGCCATCACGGGGTGGACAAGGAGGCGACACACCTTTCCCTGGGCTCCAAGGCAGACACACGCTTAGGAGGCAACAGATGAAAACAATGTGTTTGTAGATGTGGAGGCTTGTTGAAGTGGGGCTGGAAAATGCTGAGTAAGCAGAGTGTAAGTTTTCAAACTTAATACACTTTCCAAAGGCAGCTGGTTTGGAAGTGCTACTAAATTTGGTCTGCCCTTTCCCCTTCTTGCAGTCATTCATGTGTCTGTTCATTCAGCATGCCAATGCAGCCCCAGTAGAGGACGGTGATGCTCAGAAATAAGGGTCACAGGGCCCCTGTCTGCACGCTTAGAGGAAGCCAACAGATACCCTGTGGGCGGCAAGCACGTAGTAAAAACCACGATAGGCTTCCATTCCGTGTGCAGGGGAGGTGAGGGTGCTGGCTTTAAATAAAGGGGTGTTCCCAGCCCTAAGGTGGGGTTGCTTTCAACTTGATAGAGAAGATTTTATAGCCAGGATCGGTGGTGAGTCTGGGCACTGCCGCTGACAGTGACAGCCTGGGGGGGGGTTCTACCCCTCGTGCTCATAGCTCATGTCAGTTCTCAGCAGAGTGCCTCTCGGCATCAAAGGCCTGCTTCATTCTCAGCGACGAGAGGCCCTTCAGCTGACTCTTTTGTAAAGTAGGTGCCAGGTGAGCCTTCTCAGCAGAGGGCATTGGAAGGACTTTGCAGGAGGAAGACAGTTCCTGTCATTTCCAGCAGGGCAGGGGATGGGGATAAGTGTGGTTGGCCCCAACAGTCTGTCCTGAACATGGTCCCCGTGCACCCTTCGCCCGGGGCAACTCGCCGGCAGCCCTGTCCGCTCAGAAAGCAGAACTCAAGGTGGCCGGTGCACAACGAGGCCTCCTGCCATACCCACACCTGGCCTCCCCTGCCTCACCCACACCTGGCCTCCCCTCCTGTAGCCACACCTGACCTCCCCTGCTGTACCCACCCCTAGACAGAGAAGTTCTCTAATTCAGCCAGGCCAGACTTGGCCTGGAATTGCTAGATGAGTGCAGACTATGCTGCCCAGTGCAGGTGGGGAGCAAGCAGGAGCTCCCAGCTCAGAGAGGAACAGTGGGTGCAGGTCCAGGCAGGCCAGAGGTCCAGTCCCCCAGTGCCTATAGGCTGCTTGTGGGGGGGAGACCATCTCTGGGGGTGAAGAGCCACACGGGGGTGTATGGAAGGAGTCAAGGTGTGGGTGCAGGAGGGGAGGCCAGGTGTGGGCACAGCAGGGGGAGGCCAGGTGTGGGTACAGGAGGGGATGCCAGGTGTGGGCACAGGAGGCAAGGCCAGGTGTGGGTGCAGGAGGGGGAGGCCTGGATCCACCTGCTGCAGCAGTGAAGAGAGCCACTCGGAGCTGTCCTTCGGGACCCTCCTCCCCCTGGAGCACCCAGGACGCCCCTCGACCTGCCGTTTCCCTTGTCCTTCAGTTTCTGACTCCTGACTGGGGCCAGGCTTCCACCTCATCAGGAAGGAGTTGCTAGGATCAGTATTTGTGCTTCACCAGGCAAACGAGAAAGCCCACCCACAGCCCAAACCTCAAGGCCTGCTCCTCAGGCCGGATCAGTGGGCGTCAGCCGCCACTCTCGTTCCACAGAGAGTGAAGGAAGCTAAGGTCAGGCCCTGCACTTGAGGACTGTGTCGGTGTGGATGTGGTTAGCCGCAGAGGAAGAGACCGAGGGTCAGCGAGGCCAGAGAGGTGCTTTGGGGTCACGCATGCAGCATTGGATGGAGCACTAAACCTGCTGGCTTGCCCTCGAAGTCGCCCTTCCCATGCCACACTGGGCTTCCTCCCAGAACCCCAAACCTCCTTTTCACCTGAACTACGATAATTCCCCAGCATAACAGGAATCGCCCATTGCTCTGCGATGAAGCCGACTGAGCTTGGGGAATCGTCTGCTGGAGGTCTTTTGCAATGACACCACTAAACCGCCTCCCCCCAAGAGAAAGGTATGACTCATCTGGAAGGTACAAGTCTGAGGTTTCCCTTCTCTGAGCTAGCCTCTGAATGAGCCCCAGGAGCTTGGCCGTGGAGGCAAGGCTGTAACTTTGACAGTGTGTGCGGGGTTGTTCAGGTTCCACTTTGAAATCCCATTGGCTAAAATCAAGTGTGTAGATTGTCATATCGGCAACGGACCGGTGCTCAAATGCGAAGTCCAAATGACCAAGAGTCTTTGCTGTTCACAGGGCTTCCTGGTGCTTAGAACGCCGCTTGCTACATAGTCCATGCTCAGTAAGTGCGTGGCCGTGGATGAACCTGCAAGGTCAAGGATCCACCATGTTTCTTTACACGGGATCTTGACTAGGAGGCCACTTTGTTAAAGCAGGATTTTGAAAAGCAAGAGGGGGAAGTCAGTACACCTTAAGAGAACTTGGCTTAGGCCCTCCTTGGTGGTGAACTGGGTTACAGTGCAGGCAGCACTGCAAGCCAGCCGCAGCTGCTTCTGTGTGAGTTCGATCCCCAGCCAGGGAGGTGACCCACATGGCATGGCAGACCTCTCCTGTCTCCTCACTGCTCCCCTCAGCAGTGGACTTCATCCATCTGCCTCTTCTGCTCCCCACTTTGTCTCTGGTGAATCCTCTCACCGCCCCTGCATCTCTGGCCTGTCCCCCAGTTCTGTATGCATAAATAAATAAATGTTAAAAAAAAAAAAGAAAGAAAGAAACAGGAGCAACCTTTAAAGAAAAAGAAGGAGAGAACATGATTTGCTGTTTTGTAGATCAAAGCATGCTATGCTGGCTGTGATGGAACATTCCAGGGCCCAGACTGGTCCAAATGAAAGCTTCCTATTCATGCTTCCCCAACTCCAGGTTACCAGCCTGTCCCTCCCTTGACTTGCCGGTAATCAACAGCAGAGAGGTAACACCCCAGGGAGTAACAGAGTGACTTTTTAACTGGAGCCCTTTGGAAAAAGTGACCCAGGGCTTACAGAGAACCCTGTGCACGTGGTCACTCCTTCAGCATCTGCTGGCACTGAGGGTCATGAGATGATATCAAGATCTTAAAATAAAGGACTGACCTAGGTCGTGGAATTCCAGGCAGGGGAGGAAGGCTTCAGAGTGTGGTGGTGCTTTCAGCTGGACAGTCTCCTGGCACTTCTCAAGTGATGCCAGGAAGCTACCGACCCCTCTTCTGCTTAATAGTATATCTGTATTCGAGTTTATTGTAGAAATTCTGACCCAAACTAACAAGTGAAGAGGACATTCCCCTCTCGGGTGATATTCAGGTGTAGAGCTGACCTCTTGACACTTCTAGGAAAACTTGCTTATTGAGGGGATATAAGTTTCAGGAGGGAAGAACTTAGAGTTTGCTCTTCTTGAACAATATGTCACGTCACAGATCACCCAGATGCACCCGATGGAGTCGCTCCTCAAGATGTGAGGTTCATATTCATTGCTCTGAGAAACCTAAGCAGTGCTGAAATTCCCTACTTCCTGTAGATGGGGTTTGCCTGCCCAAAGCCATTTGTTTTAAAAAGGGAAAGTCATCCCAACCTCCCTGGGGCACATGACTGGCAGTGCTGATGGCCAATCACAACCCCACTACTAGATTTGGGGCGGGCTCAACCTCTGTGGTAGTATTATTAACCAGCAAGTGGTCTCTTGGGGACCGATATTGCTCATGGTTACTTTACAGGCATTGCCAATTCCATTTGTTATGTTCAAATGAAACTTATCTTTCTGGAAAGAAGCACACGGCAAGCTCTTAGGACCTACTTGATCAAAATAGTTAACATTCAATTTATGTCTACATTTTTTCCCCAAGAGAGAAGAAAAAAATCATTGTGTTATGATTGTTAGGAGACAGCACTTATCAGAGAACTTGGCCACAGTAGCTCTGGAACATCCACTTACTTAAAGCTGCATTTTCCCAGAAAGTCTCTAAGAGCTAGAGAGAGTTTAGGGTTAATTGTTTCAGGACCAATCATTCCCACTGTCCCCCACTATAGCCATGAGGGAAAAAACATTCCTGGGGTTGCTGTTCTGCCCCGTTGTAGGCTTTCCTGGGAACAACCCTATTCATATTCCTTTTCCTTTTCCCAGGTACAAACTCAGGATACAGTGGCAGAGACGATCTCTCTCAGCCAGAGGCCAGCCTCCTGTGAGCCTGCTTGGCGGCAGTCCACAGGTGCTGGGACCACAGCAGATTCCTTCTCCACCTTAGGAGGCATTGATGAGGAAAATGCACCCTTGGCCCAGCTTCTGGAACCCCAACACTGTGCTCAAGGCACGCAGCATGAAGGCCAGGAAAGGGAAGACGACACACCTGGGTATTCCTGGGGAGACCTAGGCCATGAGCTGAGTGTCCCTGAGGCTGAGGACACAGACATGTCCCCCTGTGAACTGCCAATGTGCTCCCCTCAGGGGGGCAGCACTGACCTCGGCGATCCCGAGGATCTCTCTGGTGCTTCCCTGGAACCCACAAACTCTACCTCTACCCTCAGAACTGTATGCCCTGGGCTGGCAGGTGGAGAAGGAATGTTTGCGATGGAGCATCTGGAAGCAGGTGACCAAGGAGCAGGTGGTGCCCCGGGCTCTCCTGTTGCCCCAGAGAGTGAATATTTGCCTCAAGAAATATTCTCCATGGACTTTGAGTTGGAGGAAACTCAGAGCCACGTGTCTGACTTATGGTATCCTGATGACGAGACCCTGGGTGACACTTTCCAAACAGGGGCTTCTGAGGCTCCACTGGCTGCAAACGAAAGCAGCACAGGTGGGGATTCGGCAGTGTCCCCTCTCTCTCCCCCTACTTTCACCAAGAACACTTCACCAGAGGCCAGTGAAGGTGCTTCTCAGATAGAGAATTTCCCCTCCGTGTTGGCTTCCAGAGTGCAGACTGGCCAGGAGGGGCTATGCCCCTCCCTCGTAGAAGCACACGATGGGGGATGGCCTCTGACTCCTGAGGACAGATCTTCTGTGTTGTTTGAAGAAGGAGGTGACAGGAGTCCCTGCACCAGTGACCCGGACACTGCAGACAGCCCCACCAGTCAGAGTGCAACTGAGGTGATCCCTCGGGAGATGCCTGCAGCAGTGACTGCTGATCTGGAATGTGTTCTGGTGACCAGGGAGAGCAGAAACACATCAACTGTTACCATCGCCACCAAAGTCCCCCAAGCCAAGTCCCTCCCGCTCTCCATCACTTGGGACAGCCACGCAGATGGCCCCGAGGACCCGGCGTGTCAGGGTGCAGGTGAGGATGGCTCCCAGCCTCCTCCAGGTATGCAGCTGGAGCCCATTTTAAATGATTCTACCCCTGAGTCCACGGAAGAACAGACCTGCATGGCCGCCATGGGGCCAGGAGCCTACATCCTTGCTCCCCAGCTCCTAGAGGAGGAACCATCTCTTCAAGATAAGAGCCAGGCTGTGGATGGAGCAGATAGCAGGAGCCTTGAGGAGAATTTCCAAGAAAAAGGATGTGAGACAACACAAGCAGTCCCCCAGGAGGGCCTGCCCCATGAAGGCTCTCTTTCTGAAGATGACCTCTGGGAAAGTGTGCCCATGACATCTGCTGCGCTGGAAGAGGGGAGTCTGGAGCCCATGCCAGCAGGCCCCAGAGAGGACAGCGGGCAGAGCTCCGGCCTGGGGACCAGCGTGTCGGCAGGGGCAGAAGCTACCACAGAAGATGACTGTCAGGTGCTGAGTACCATCCCACTGCTCTCGAACATTCTCCTGGAGGAGGCTAAAGAGATTAGGCCAGAAGACTGGGGAGCAGGCAGCAAGCTGAAGATTATAACTCTAGAGGCTACCATTTCAGAAATCTGGTCACCCAGGGAATGGGCTGATTCTGAGAGCCAGGAGTCAGAAGCTGGTCTCAGGACTCCTGATGGACCCTGGGCTGTTGCTGACGTTCCCCAGACAGAAGCTGCCTCGCCTGAACCAGACCCCTCGGAAACAGCAGCAAGGGCCCACAGTCCTGAGCCTGAGCCTGGCTCAGCCTCCGCTGATGACACAGACCTCGTCCTGGAAGACGAAGACCGTGAGCCTGGCTCAGCCCTGGCTGAGGACTCAGACCTCGTCCAGGAAGATGAAGACCGTGAGCCTGGCTCAGCCCATGAAGATGAAGA